CTAAAATATTCTTTCAGTCATGATTTGTGGTACCAGACACGAGAAGATTCAACCTATGAAGGGCTGCAACTAACGATTATTTGCAAAATTATTAATCTGTCTATTATTTTTTCTATTAAACGATTAATAATCCGATAGTCAAAGGTTCCTTGAAGAAAATGTTTTACGAATTTAAATCAGGTGGAACTAAACTTCTCAACTTGAGAATAGATCATATTGATGGACGAAAACATTTTTTTTTTTATCTTACATGAAAAATTAAATATATATATATATATATATATATATATATATATATATATATATATATATATATATATATATATATATTAGGGGTGTAAATAATAGTCATTTTGTATCGATGCATCGATCCAACAGCCGACGATCTGATGCATCGACACGTCCGCAAGATAATCGATTCATGTTTTTTTTTTCCTCCGGTCTATTTTTATCCATTTGCTCCTAAACCTATTTTGCCCTCCTACCTCGCTCCCTGGTTATACTCTTACAGCAGTGTGTTGCAGCAAGCTTCAGACAGACATTTTTAAATTATGCTCAATATTGAAGCGTGGTCTGTGCTACACACTGTAGGTCTAGATACGGCCGGGGTGGCGAGGAAGTGGGGGCGAGTTTAGTCCGACGACGGAGGGACATGAGGGCCAAAAAGAGCGGAGATCCAGGTGGAAAAAGGCTCCCAGCGTTCTCGTACACCTCGCTTTTCTAGCGGGTCAAACTTCACGAGCTGTTTTCCGATATTTCGGTCATAAAAACAGAACAAGCCGGCCTCCTGTCTGCGGCACTGTTTGCAGTCACCTACAATTTGGGAGAGGTGCAGCGGAACAAAATCATTGCACTGATTATGTGCAGTATTTTTGTTTCTAAAAAAAGATGCTAAACGACATTACAGCTTTCATTGATTTATTTCAAACTTGAAACTTTGTTTAGTAAGGTGTAAAAAAAAAATGAATCAATTAATCGAATCGAATCGTGGTGTATTCTTGAGTATCGAAAATTATCAAATCGTTGGGTCAGGAAATCGATACTGAATCGAATCGCCATGATGGTTGTGATTTACACCCCTTATATATATATATATATATATATATATATATATATATATATATATATATATATATTACAATTTTGATATAATTACTAATCTAAATGGGTTGCTCTGTCAACTAAAAACATGTTTGACAGTCTCGGTGCTCCAATTAAAAATGAATCGTTTATTAAATTAGTTGAAGATAACTTCAATAATTGATTAATCTGATTAATTCTTTTAGCCCTAATTCAACCATAGAGTTTTATTTTTACAGTTTTCAAAATGTCTCAACTAAATGTAGCCGATCTTCTAACTTTTCTTGGTCAAAACAAACTCAGTTTTCGTCTCACCTTCTAAAACTGTTGTTTTAGCGAAAGGCTCCTGCTTTATGTCCCGTTAACCCTGCTTTCCCAATAGGGTGGGTCCTATTCTGATTCCCTTCCAATGCATTCAACTAGAAATTAAAGTTGAACTCAACAAATGGATTGTTTTCCTGAGCAACTCATTGGTAGACCAGTAACCTTCAATGGGATCATTGTGGTGCAACATTTGACATGGATCAAACTGGAATATTTCTTCTTTTCCTGCAACATTTTCAATCTGTTAGTAACCAAAGTTTATGTAACAACCAGTAATAATACATTATGAACCTATTCAGCTATAAAAACTTGCTGGTAAATAAGAGTCATTTAAAAGTTGAATGCCAAACTAAATGAACAACAATCCTCACCAAACGAAACGTATTCCCACTAAAGTCAGAGGAGAATTGATAGCAACCTGCAGGAGAAGAAACCTTTCATCTCCTAGTGCTTACTCGTTGTGTGTTTCAATTTTCCAAAATGGCATACAAAATAAAAAGCAGTGCTACCCAATCTGCAGAACAGTCACTATATATGATTTTTAAGGAGTAAAATAGCTAGTTTTGCAGCGAGAACCTGCTAATTAATGATGACTAACAAGTATGCAGTCCAACTTCACATATTCTTCTTTTTTTTGTTTAATATATTAAGAGTAAGGTTCAAACAATTAATAAGTCAATTAATTGATTATTGCAATAACCGTCAACTAATTTAGTAATTGATTAATCGTTAACTTTAGTGTAGAGCCTCTGAAACATGCCTTTAGCTGAAACAGCAACCCACTCAAAGCAGTTAATATACCAACAAAAAATATCTATAAATTTGACATTTAAGATGAAAGCTTATTTTTACATTAATAAGCTCTAGCCAGAAGTCCTCAAAGGGCCCAGTTTTAGCTTGGCTTGGTTAAAATTCTTAAGAAAGTAACCTTTAAGAAACCTTTTGCCATCCGATTATTGATAAAAAAAAAAAAGAATCAATAGATTTATCGATTGCCAAAATAATCAGCAGCCCTAATTTGGAGCAGATCAGATAAAATCACTGCGAAATGAAGATTAAAGTTATGAAACAAGGACCAGAAAATCTCAAGAGAGCAAAAATAATAATAAAAGGTAAAGAAAGACTCTGCTGATGCATTAGTTAAATTACCTAAAACAGACTGTTTTTAAAGGTTATATAAGGAGGAAAATTATATATTAAGATATTTTCAGTATGCCCTGATGGGGTAATATATTACTGATATACAGGTGCTGGTCATAAAATTAGAATATCATGAAAAAGTAGATTGATTTCAGTAATTCCATTTAAAAAGTGAAACTTGTATATTATATTCATACATTACATACAAACTCATATATTTCAGATGTTTATTTTGTTTAATTTTGATGATTACAAATGACAACAAATGAAAATCTCAAATTCATCATATCAGAAAATTAGAATATTGTGAAAAGGTTCAAAATTGATGGCCCCTGGTGCCACACTCTAATCAGCTAATTAACTCAAACCACCTGCAAAAGCCTTTAAATGGTCTTTCAGTCTAGTTCTATAGGCTACACAATCATGGGGAAGACTGCTGACTTGACAGTTGTCCAAAAGACGACCATCGACACCTTGCACAAGGAGGGCAAGACACAAAAGGTCATCGCTAAAGAGGCTGGCTGTTCACAGAGCTCAGTGTCCAAGCACATTAATAGAGAGGCGAAGGGAAGGAAAAGATGTGGTCGAAAAAAGTGTACAAGCAAGAGAGATAACCGCACCCTGGAGAGGATTGTGAAACAAAACCCCTTCAAAAATGTGGGGGAGATTCACAAAGAGTGGACTGCAGCTGGAGTGAGTGCTTCAAGAACCACCACACACAGACGTATGAAAGACATGGGTTTCTGCTGTCGCATTCCTTGTGTCAAGCCACTCTTGAACCACAGACAGCGTCAGAAGCGTCTTGCCTGGGCTAAAGAGAAACAGGACTGGACTGCTGGTGAGTGGTCCAAAGTCATGTTCTCTGATGAAAGTAAATTTTGCATTTCCTTTGGAAATCAAGGTCCCAGAGTCTGGAGGAAAAGAAGAGAGGCACTTCATCCACGTTGCTTGAAGTCCAGTGTAAAGTTTCCACAGTCAGTGATGGTTTGGGGTGCCATGTCATCTGCTGGTGTTGTAACATTGTGTTTTCTGAGGTCCAGGGTCAACGCAGCCACATACCAGGAAGTTTTAGAGCACGTCATGCTTCCTGCAGCTGACCAACTTTTTGGAGATGCAGATTTCATTTTCCAACAGGACTTGGCACCTGCACACAGTGCCAAAGCTACCAGTACCTGGTTGAAGGACCATGGTATCCCTGTTCTTAATTGGCCAGCAAACTCTCCTGACCTTAACCCCATAGAAAATCTATGGGGTATTGTGAAGAAGAAGATGCAATACACCAGACCCAACAATTCAGAAGAGCTAAAAGCCACTATTAGAGCAACCTGGGCTATCATAACACCTGAGCAGTGCCACAGACTGATCGACTCCATGCCACGCCGCATTGCTGCAGTAATACAGGCCAAAGGAGGCCCAACTAAATACTGAGTGCTGTACATGCTCATACTTTTCATGTTCATACTTTTCAGTTGGCCAACATTTCTATAAATCCTTTGTTTTTATTGGTCTTCAGTAATATTCTAATTTTCTGATATGATGAATTTGAGATTTTCATTTGTTGTCATTTGTAATCATCAAAATTAAACAAAATAAACATCTGAAATATATGAGTTTGTATGTAATGTATGAATATAATATACAAGTTTCACTTTTTAAATGGAATTACTGAAATCAATCTACTTTTTCATGATATTCTAATTTTATGACCAGCACCTGTATATTAAATGGCTGCTTTGGAGGATTCTTGCCTCTCAGAGACTATGTAAAAGATAAGTTGCTATAAGTAACTGCATTACAGAAGGAAACCTAACAAACGCAGCACCCAGTCTAAAAAAACATTTTACATAAAATGTTCAGAATGTCAACATTTTGTGTTGATGGAATGAAAGAGTTTATTTTACAGTTTAATTAATAACCTCCAAGCTTTTAAACACAAAGAACAAGAAGACAGTCATCATTAGTTCAGAAGCTTATGGAGGTCCAGTGGGAGATGTACCAGTGTACTAAATAAGGAAGTTTTAGCTTCACCAACACCACACTGCAAAAAATAGAGATCTAAATAAGTCAATTTTCTTAAAATAGGTGCATTTTTCTGAATTGAGGAGGTAAAGGAGACTCTTTGCCAATGGAACAAGACAATTTACATTTAGAATAAGAAGAAAACAATTGCATTGTCTTATTTCGACTGCATATTATCCAATTATCATATTTTAAGAGTAAAAAACCTAATTCCTTTGGCAAATCATCGTATTTACCTACTCAGATTAAGGATAAAAACACTTAATTTAAGAAATTCTTATTTATAGATCGTTTTTTGGAATGTAAAAACGCAGTAATAAACCTGTATGAGGTTTAAAAAAACATCTAAAATGACTCTTCATGCATAGAGAATATTCAGCAACAGCTCCATTTCATTGTTTTCAGTGTTTTGGTTCAGTGTCATCACTGTGGCCTACCTGTGGCAGGGCAGAGCTAAGCTGACGCTGCAACGAGTCCCGATCGTAAATAACATCCTGCAGATGCTGCTGAGCCAGTCCAAGGCTCTCCTGGGTCTCCCTCAGTGTATCCAGGAGCCGGTCCCTCTCATCCAGCATGTTGACCATCAGCTGCTCAAAGTGGGAGTCCGGATCCGAGGCACTGCTCTGAGAGCCGCGCTGGCACGGCGCCGTGTCCTCGCTAATTGTGGGCATCACCTCACACATCATCTTGGCTCTGGTCGGGAAAATAAAGTGTAGAGTTTAACAAGTGGTTTGGAAACCTTATGTTATGTTAAATGCACACACTTAAGTTGCTGAATGTGTATGTTGCTACAAGCCTTGTATGGGTAGGAAGAAGGTACCCCAGAAATTGTACTGTGGTCAGAATCACTGTTGGTTCTACATGTAATACATGGTGGTAGAAAAATCACACACCATCTATGTTGCACCATCCCCATGGGGAAACATGGTGCTGGCAGCACCATGCAGTGAGGATCAGTTTCTTAAAAAGGGACAGTGAGGTTGACCCAACTTGATAGGAACAGGAATGGAGCTAAAACAAGCACAATTCAGGAAGAAACCAGGTTAGAGGAAAATAAAGACTTAGGACTGATTAATAGTAAGAGATTTCTCAGCAGAAAATAGCAACTTAAAGTTGTATTTTGCTTTTTATTAAGCTGAAATTATTCTTATAAATGGCAACAATTCAAATGTCAAATCTCCGTTAAGTAAATGTAAAATAATTGCCAATTAGGGATGGGAATCGAAAACCGGTTCCTGTTCAGAACCGGTTCCGTATTTTCCGATTCCATGGCATCGTTTGGCAGCTCGCTGAACGATTCTTTTTTCGATTCCCGCAGCACCAGAGCCTAAAGCGCCGGCTCTGGGGAGCACGACTTACGTCACGTTTTTTACGCAAGTTACGCATTTTCGATTCCCGCAGCACCAGAGCCTAGAGCGCCGGCTCTGGGGAGCACGACTTACGTCACGTTTTTTACGCAAGTTACGCATTTTCGATTCCCGCAGCACCAGAGCCTAGAGCGCCGGCTCTGGGGAGCACGACTTACGTTACGTTTTTTACGCAAGTTACGCATTTTCGATTCCCGCAACACCAGAGCCTGGAGCGCCGGCTCTTGGGAGCACGACTTACGTCACGTTTTTTACGTAAGTTACGCAAGTTACGCAAGTTGGAAGAACTATTCGAGGAGGAAGACAACGAGCTGCGGTCACTTTGTGAATCAAAGCGCCCCGTCTTTCCTTAGCCCAGAGGGTAGATCAGGAAATCCAGCTCTGTAAAAGCTTGCCCTCCATCCCCTGCAGGGATAGCGCCACACTGTGGTGGTGGAACAAGCAAGATACGCTGCCCTTGCTATCTGGACTGGCTGAAAACGACCTCTATGTGCAGGCTTCCTCCACGGCTGGAGACACCTTAAGCGCTGAAAGATCCCGTATCCTTCCAGAAAAAGCAGATATGCTCATCTTTCTGCAAAAGAACTGTTAATTTTCCCTACTACTGTTTTATAATTAGTATTTTTTGTTATTTAAAATATATTATTATTCCATCATTTGTTATTAGACATTGTTGGTTATTAAGTTTGTTCTTGTATTCATTTTTCATTTAAACACAGATGTTACTCCAGTTTCATATTTCCTGTGGACATCTTGATCTTGTTGAGTTTGTAAGATTGTGCAATAGTTAAGTAAACAAAGTTGATTCTGATAATCAAACTGTTTGTTCTCCTTTTTACCCCAAATTGGAATCGAAAAAAGAATCGATAAAGAATCGAATCGTTTCATAGAATCGAAAAGGGAATCGGAATCGTGAAAATCTTTTCAATTACCAACCCTATTGCCAATGTTCTTTAAAATTCGCTAGCAGATTATCTTTACAGAAGGCCTCCTGTTGCTTGAGTTTTTCTTTTCCATTGTAAATATCACAAGTCGCAAAACCAAACACTGGTCTCATCTCAGGGCAGAGATGAATATGCATTTATGATACTTAGTAAAACCAACTTGTGTCTAATTTTGTGAAAGTATCCACCTGCTGTTGTTTAAGCTACTGTGCGTAATTGCTTGGGCCCGACACAGTCAGAGCTTGGCTCAGCATTACATGGGTATCTCAAAGCTCACAGAGACGTCTTGGGATGCTGGGCATTCTGCCCTAGATTTCACGCTTGTGCTGTTTATTGGGGCAGCTCAGATCATGTTACATAATACACTATATCTACACTACAGTGGATATGCAAGTCTGTGTTCCAAGCTCCCTGTAGGGTCTTCAAGTGTGTAAGGAGCCGTTCCCACCGGCGGGTTGGTCAGCGAGACAAAACTATGCATCAGTGAACGTCATAGTCATAAGATGAAGCAATGAGCCACAAAAGGATATGGAATAATAATAATTCATCAGTTTTAGAAAAACACAAGGGGGAATAAGTGGATGTTTTGTTCAATAAAGTGAAGCTGTATGATGGTTAAACCTGCACACAACTGAAAAAGTAGCCTCATTTAAAAAAGGAATGGATCCATTTTCTGAAAGCAAATTAATAAATAAAGCTAAAAAGCAGGAAATCAATTCATAGAAAAGTTTTTTATATATTTTTACTTGTATACCTTGATAATAAAGAAGCTTTAAGGTGGAAGATATTCTGCATCAAACAAACAAACAAGTTAAAGCCACAATGCCATTTTTTTCTTAAGTGCAGTTGTTAGTAGGTAAAGACTTTTAAAGATGTATTTCTTTTTGTTTATTTCCAATCTTTACAAAATCCCCCATCTTCCTCAGCTTTAGAACTCAGGTCACTAAGGCTACGTCCACACAGCAGCCTGAAGTGACCCAAATCCTATTTTTTTTCCTCATATGCAACCTGTATCTGATCTTTTCATGGCAGTCTAAACAACACAAATCCGATTTTTTTCCAATGCGACCCAGCCCACTTGGCTCTGTGGTCCTGAATCCGATAAGAAAGTGATCTTTTCAAATGCGACCTGTGCGTGAACGGCCAGGTCGCATTTATCCGACCTGAACACTTGTCTGCGTCTTGCTGCACAGAAGTGGCAAGAAAAACAACAACCATGGTGGACGATAATGCAGAGAGCAGTCTTTATTTTCAACCATCTTAAAAAGATTGTGTTGTTAACGCACTGGCTGAGGTTGGGAAAGATCGCTAGATGCACTCCAGCAGTACCATCCATATTTACACCCATACAGCATGCTCGCTTGTGACATCATTCTGTCCTCTACTTTGCATGCACATAAGTTGTGTTAATGCAGATCACACAGGAGACCATATACAAGTCGCATATACTGTATATGGAAATGTGAACGACCACAAAAAAGTATTGGATTTTACAGAAAAATCGTAATTGAGCATTAAGGCCTGCAGTGTGAACGCAGCCTAAGTAAGACACTCAACTGCCATTTTATTGGTTACAACTTTTAAAAAAAGTGGGTGGTAGCTGGATAATTTAGTTTCATGTAGGTAACTTTTTGGAAAAAATACACAATTAGGAACAGTTTTACTGCACCATACATTTCATTTTATTAGTTTAATACAATTAAGAGGTATTGCTACTCGTACTGGATTATAATCTTTGGCTACTTTAACAATCTTTTTTTTTAAATAAGCTTGTTTTTATAAAAATGCACCGGACACAGACAGGTTAATGCATGTCAAAAGGAATATTCTTGCTTCTACACAAGCTTTGAGGTTTGAGCCGAGCTTGTTGTGGCATTTTCAGGTCACCCCAACATACTGTAAACATTATATATTGTTACAGGATGCACTTTACTCTGTTCTTATACATTAAATACAGTAAAGGTTTGTTTCAAAAGTTTTGTGCTGAAATAATTTAACTGAATCTTTGCCTGGATAGTTATTTTGTATTGAAATAGTTTTCTTATATTAGTCTTTAAAATAAGATTATTAAAAACAGAAGGTTCTATTTTTGTCTTTCTTATCTTTTTAGATATAAATTACATGTCAATCAGATACTCAGTAAGTTTTCTTACTTCAGTAATATCTTGAATAGCTGCTATTATTAAAATATTTCTAACCCAAGTAGTGCTGCTCTTGCCTACAGTTTTTGGGCACTTTACCCCCCTTTGCATGTTTTATATTGTTTATTAACTAAAAACATTGACAAAACTAGATGTTGGGGGACAAATTGTTGAAATTCAACACAGCATCATAATGAGAAATCAAAGAGATTATAGTGACTTTAAATGTAGCTTGAATGTTTGCTCTAAGTATTTTAGAAACTGTTTATCTTCCATTATTTTCTCACAGACTTTGCAGTTTACAGAAAACGGTGCAGCAATTTTCATTGGAGGAAGAAGGGCTTTCCCTCATCAGCAGGCAGTCAGGCTGCACAAACCTCTGCTATGAGCCAATATCTGACAGATGTGTTGAAGAAGAGACTCAGACTTTGAATTGAACGTTTTGAAAACATGCCTCTCAAGAACAGTTCAGTTAGGTAATGGTTGTTTAAAGGTATCAAGGTATACTTTCTAATCACATTTGCTCCTTTTAAGAACCAGTTTAGCGTTAATTAAAAATTATAGCCTACATGAGCATTGTTGTTCAAAATGTACATCCCCTTATTACACCAGAGTTAAACTTGATTTGAAGAAATATAGCACACCATGTCATATGAATGTAATGATCTACTGTAAAACTGCTTTCCTGAACATGTAAATTACAGTAGTTCTGTCAGGATTTATTTAATTGGAACAGAATACAGACGGATGCTTGGACAAAGCATGGTTAGATAATAATATTTAATGAAAATCAAACAGAACACAAGCATGGAGAAAGTAGATGATCCAGTGACTAGTTTCTAACTGCAAGGTGACTAAAGTAGAGTGCAGTCAATGGGGAAAACGGGTGAATGGAAGCTATGAATTAACTAATGGCTTTTGCAAAGGGAGACATTTTCAAACAGAGCTAAACAAGCTAAAAACAAAAAAGAAACTAAGAGAACCTTCCTTATATTATAGAAATAATTACTAGCCAAAGTCACGTCAAATGCAGCTAAAATAACTAAGAAATAAGAAAAATACTAGAAAAGAACTGAAAAGCTAATATGGCAAACAAATATATGGCAAGACACAAACAGCAAAACTCAAACACAAAATTTTAGTTATGCTTTACTTTTGTAAAAAAAAAAAAAAAATCTAATAAAGAAAACAACTCCAAACAGAAAAGACAACTTAAAAAGATAAACACAAACTAATACTGA